ACAATAATAAAAATCATAAACTTATGCTTTCAGATATGCTTTTGCTAAATATGTTGGACTTATTTAGACTTTTCTATGAATCACACTTATATTTTTTGTTGTCTTTATGATTCCAGTGACAAACTTATTTGGTTCATCGAAAGTCTGTCTTTTTTGCCTTAATCTGCAGTGCTGATGCTGCTGGCTTTTTGTGGGGTTTCATTTAGTCTGAGGTTTCAGACAAACGGGTGCATGCCTATTATTCATTTCAGTCCCTCAGTAACTAAACCTCGTAATTGGTTACAGGCTCATGTGTGTGTTTGTGAATAGGAACAAGAGAGAGCTGTGATCTTTTGGGATGTTGGGTAGACATCTTGAGAAGGATTCATGCCTAACCACACAGACTCAGCAGTGTGTCGAAGACTGTGATCACATATGAACTTAGATGTCAGGATAAGCACATAAAAGTACACACTAAACATACTGTAAGCCACCCCAAAGTTGTAGTTCCCAGGGGCTTCAGATGACTTCTGTGTTGGACCACATCTCTCCTTCTGAGGTCCCATCAGTCTAAGCCCAGCTCAGACCACAACTCCCATTTCTAAACCCCTTCATTCTTTAGTGTTGGTTGTGGGCAGAGAATGTTTTGATCATGATAACATAATTAAGACAAATGTCTGAGGACAGAAAGAGCATGCAATATGTATGTGACAGTCATTTAAGACACACCATGCAGCTTTGTGTTCAAATGTGGTTTAAATTTACTTTTCAGTTATTTTTTTAAATCCTACAAACAAATCTTGAAAGCTGTTAGTTCAGAAGGTGTGACGTGTGTGACCCAGAAACCCAGAGTTTCAAAAGCATGCAGTGTGTAAAAGTGAAAGCCTCAGAGTGATGTGTGGGTGCTAGAAGAAGTTAAGTATGTTGCAGCTTGGTACACTGATCACACCCAGACTAAAAAAAAAATACTTAAAATCAGCTGCATATCTAACTGAAGATAGTCAGGCTTGACTTAAGGAGGCGTGTCACAATGGGTGGAGTGGGGCAGGAGATTATCATCTGCTCAAACCAAAAGAGAAAAGCATCAGAGAGGACTGAACTGAGCCGTATGGGTTTTTCATGCTGACACTGTGAGGCAGAAATGAGTTTCCAGAATGAAGAGCAGGAGTTTGACTTTAGCTATGTGTTTGAAGACAGTGATGGTGTCCAGAAAAAAGCAGAGACAGGTGGGTAGCTGTGTCTTTTGTTTTTATTTTGTATTTGCAAATGCATTTTAAAAATATTTTTAGTGTGAAACGAAATTAAAATGAGTTATTTAGGAGAAGAGATTATGACTGTTTGAATCTAAACATATATATATATATATATTTTTTTTTTTTATTTGTGGATCACATTTAATTTTAGGTTTGCATGTCTTATGCCAAAAAGTAACTTCTGACCATGGGTTTTTATGAACTAATTTTAAATTGTGTGCCTACACATTAAGTAGCATGTGACAAACTTGTCATTTCATGTGATGCACAATGTGGTTTACAAAAATAGCATGTTTCATTGAGGGGGACAAGCATCCCTGGGTCTCATACTCAGACATTTACTAACTGTTTTCACCTTGCTGATGATCAGGAAAAATGATGGGTGAGATTTACACTTCACACAACTGCCAACCACACCAGTTTCACTGATGTATGTTCTTCCCCTGAGTCCTTTTGCATGTCACTGGCACTTGTGTGTGTATGTACCTTTGTTCTGTGCATTGTTTGTAGCGCTGCTGCTAACTCCGCTTGACTTAATCACATGCTCGAAGCGATGTGAGTGCTGTCAGCTGTCCACTGGGGAGGGCATAATTCACTCTGTGAGTGATGCAATCAATCAAAGTAGGCATCAATCAGCATTGCCGGAGGAATTCCTTTAGCATATATATGACAGGAGGGTATGCCAAATAAAGCTGGAGATGAAAACTGATCAAACAAATGAGTGGTGGTGCAAGTCACGACTGCACAGCACATGCATTAACAGCTTTGAGATGATTGCTTAGCCTTTTTAAATGTTTCAAAAGAGGGGACCTTGTCACTTTTTGTGAGTTTGAATAAGATGTGAATAATTTACATTTTAAAATGCAAGAGTTTTTTTGCTGGTGTCAAAGTGAAACCACGTGAGCCAGATACAGTGAGTAGAGGGCAAGACACAAGAAAGGTAAATAATAAATAACAAATTTAATTTAAAAAACAATGTGAATTTGTAGCTTTTGTAAAAATAAATATTGTCTGTGATTGGTCTTGACCTTGGATCAAGTACTTTTTTTGGATCCTTCTCGTGTTTGTAGAATGCAGATGGTAACATATATATTAAACTTGTGTTTTTCAGATGCATACAACTACACACCAAACGTCAGCCTGGCCCTTCCACTTGGTATGGGAAACCCTTGTCTGCCCACTCAGTATCACACCCTACAGTCCAGCCCTGTCATCTCAGTTTCCTCTTGCCACCAGACAGGTTACGACCTTCAAAATGAAAACCATCCAGTGTCTGGTTATTACTTGCCTCAAGGCTTGAGACCCAATGGTGCTCCAGCCCTAGAAAGCCCTCGTATAGAGATCACTGCCTACAGCCAGTACCCAGAAAATGAGGTAGAAGAGAGCAGAGGTGAGGATCACATCATTAAGCGAGGTGTCAACTCCATTGTCACATTGACACTGCCTAATGCTGATGGGTACCGTGATCCCAGTTCTCTAAGCCCTGCCAGTAGTGTGTCGTCACGCAGCTGTAACTCAGATGCTTCATCATATGAGTCTGGCTTCTACAACTATGACAATTCCCCACAGAACTCCCCTTGGCAGTCTCCCTGTGTTTCTCCTCGAGGTTCTTCCTCACTTCTGTCATGTCCACATGCAGCTGGCCCAGCAACAGGCTCCCCTCACCATTCGCCCTCCACCTCCCCTCAAATAGGAGCAATGGCAGAGGAGGTCTGGCCAGCCCAACCTCGTGGCTCCAGGCCAAACTCCCCATCTTGCAGTGGAAGTGGCGGAGGTAACACTGGTGGCATAGGGAAGAGAAAGTATAGCTTCAATGGCTCCTCCTACCATCAGACATACTGCTCACCAATTCAGTCACCCACTCCTTCACCACATGGTTCCCCCAGGGTCAGCGTCACAGATGAGAACTGGCTCGCCAACACCAACCAATACACTAACTCTGCCATTGTGGCTGCCATCAATGCTCTGACCACAGATGGGGTGGTAGATATGGGGGAGGGAATCCCAATCAAGACACGGAAGACCATGCTAGACCTTACCCCGTCCATGAGCTTGAAAGTGGAACCTGGTTGTGAGGAGCTGGGTCCAGATGGGGAGCTTTGCCATGAGGACTATCCCTCACATCTGGGACTGAAGAAGGAGAACTATGGTGGAGGGTTTCTGGATGTGCCCCAGCATCCATTCTCCTGGCCAAAGCCCAAGACTTACCTGAGGTAAGTTGAGCTGCTCCAGATCCTTCTGGGGAAAATGCCAAAATGTATTATATTATTGGGTTGTGACTGTTAGACACTAGTTATGATTTTATGATATATGACAATAGGCACATTTTACATTGCTGTCTCACTGACTTAGGAATGTTTTCAACCAGTGACACATTCAGCTATGTTTTGAGTGGCCAATATTTGATAATCATGGTCTGCTTTTGTGCCCACTTTAGGCCATGCACATTATTTTGTTGTCCACCTGCACCTGCTGTGTTCAAACCTTAACAACCCCCATATTAATATTTGATCTACTGGAGAACAATTTTTAAATGAAGACCATGAAATTTGGATCAGCTTTTTTATATAAATTATTAATTATTATCTGTTTGGCTTCTTGACCTTGACAATCAGGGTTCTAATCATTGATATTTGCTTACCTTCCTGTGCAGGTGACTAATAGAACTTACAGAAACTAAACTGAGAAGGTTTTGAGACTTTATTGAACATTTTCAAAACTCAAGTGAGTCTAAGTTTGCAAGCCTCTGTGATTGACTTGAATAATTTGGGATCTCCCACAAGAATTTCAGAAACTTCAATGCTGTTTGCCAACTAGTCACCAAGCGCCTCAACCAAGTGAGATTAAACCTTTTAATCTTGCATCAAAGTCTAACATGCATTCACAGTGTTAAAAGCACAAAACAAACAATACATAGGTCCGCTGCTTATTCTGACACTGGTTAAATGTCCCCACTGTAGTTTTTTTTGCCAATAAACAATTTGTATCTCATCTCCTTTAGAGTTACCAAAAAGAACCTCTAAATATGACATTTAGGTCCACCTCCACTGCCCCCATTAAACTCAAATTATCAGCAAAACACAACAAAAAATACTTCTTCTCAACATCCCACAGGGGCGGATCTAGAAAAATTTCCATTGCAGGGCAAGGGGGGGTGGGGTGGGCAAAAGCTCAATGTAGGATGGCAATGCGGTATCACTTCACTGAAGTACTGCACATAAGAAATTTCCTTTATCTAAAAAGAGTGAACAAAACATTCATAAAAACATTTTGAAATGCTATTTATTGTCCTTTTTCTCTTCTAAGTAACAAAGACGCGCACACACACACACACACACACACACACACACACACACACACAC